ACCGATGCGTTTAAGACAACATTTTCTTTTCAGATAATAATTTTATTTATTTCTAATTATTTTATTTATTTTTAATTTAAGAAACAATAATTACTTGTAGTGTCCGTGCAAGCGTATAATTGAAAAGAAAACTAGTTTATGCTCTGCTAGAGATTGAATAAAAGGCAACTACGGAATATTTTTATTTGACCGTGCCAATTAATCGCGCGCTTCTACTGCGTTCATCGAGTAAATCAATGAATTTAACGTGGCGTTGAAATCGAGACGGAACAGGTGGACACGTGGATTGTTAAGGTCGTAGGTCGCGCCCGCGCTAGTTACCCGTAGGCGTTCGATTCGAGACGTCCCTGTGTTAACCTTGGCTTTACGTCAATGCAGGGGCGTTCTTACGATCCTGGCTACGCGTAACATCATTGTCACGAACGTTCGCGCAAAATGTTTACGTAGAGACCTTTGCATGCCACGTGCAAATATCTTTCGTTCGGAAAAAAGAACCGAATATTTCCATCATCTCGATTAAATAATGAATGTCGTTGGATATGTCAAATACTTATCGGTTTGATTATTTCTCTGATTAACCCGAGAAATTTACATTCTGAGAAATTATTTTATCAAAATTACTATTGAAAATGAAAAGAATTATATTATTTTTTCCAGAAAAAAATAATCAAAGATAAATAGTTTTAAAGCCAATATAATAGGATAAAATTATAGATTAAAGATTAACAAGTATTAAATCATGGTTCGAAATTATTAAAAATGTAAATATATAATCGCGTGTGATTAATTTATATATGTGATGAAAGACTGAGGTAATAAATTTACCCTTTTTTTCGCGATGCGTTAAATTGATCATTGATTCAACTAAAAACTTAAAATAATTTGTTGAAAGCAAAACTAACAAGACAAAGTTATGATGGAACATATTTTGTTTTGTTTTGTTTTTTTTGTCATAACCATTACGTTGTCAACGTACCCGAGCGTATGATGTTAAGTAATACGTAAATGTGAACGTCATCGGGGTGCACTTTATAAATGTCGCGTGCAAAGATGAACGATAACAACTTCTCCACATCGGATGACGTTGGGTCATCGATGTGTGCTGTACGTGTGTAATGTGACGTGTACACGCCCGTCCTATACGAATCGCCGTCAGCCATAAAGGTGATAGGTAACACACTCGCGTCATACGAAATTGTTATCAAGTTGATATAATTAACTCGCATGATCTGAAAGATTCACCGTGATATATAAAAGACGGAAATATCGGGAGCGTTTATCAATGAATCAGATTAACGGAAATTCGAAATCGTAGTTCGCAAAAATTTACATCCTTCGTAATTTTATTATATTCACTTGTTCATGTAATTTTTAACATTTTTTACAATGTATTTTATATTTATTTCTTACAATTAATGAAGTAATTAAACTTTATAACGGAGATACAACGATTGTTTCAGAGTTGTCTATAAAAGACAATTTCCTTCCTTTCTTGCTTAAATAAGAAACTGGAAACTTCACATTTAATCGGAATTTGTTAAATGTTTCACATATATATCATCTAATATTTTAGAACAACTTTAACACGATTACTTAACACAATTTTTTTTACTTTCTCTAATGCAAACATTTTCTTTATCATTGCCGATTTCGTAATCAAGGTTATAATTTCCACAAATTTACCTCAAATTCATTTAAAAATTCTAATTGATGCAAAATCACTTTTCTCGAGCCTGAGGAACAAAGTCGTGCGATTACATCGATGCTCCGACCTCGCGATACCGTCCGATTGATAGCGAGTTATCGTGCCACAAAACGTGGAGTACGCGAGGAGATTGCAAGGGAGGGAACCGACAGGAAACACTATCCGATGCGATGCAACAAGATCGTCGATAATCGCGCGCATTCGCGCGGTTTCATCTTCTCGCACGATTTGTCTCTTTTCTTTTTTTTTTTCTTCTTTTTTTTCTTCTTTCTCATTTTCGCCCGATTCTAGGCTCGAGTACGCGCGCGTGTTCAAGTCGCGATGCGTATAGAGGGCCGCGTTCCGCTCATTCATAACACGCCGCGAACAATGGCGGGGCCACCGCGAGATACGGGGGAAAGCTATGGGAATCACGATTTCCGCCGAGAGAAGCTAACTACGGTGAACCAGATCTAAAAGCGCCTTCCCTTCGGCATCGTCGCTCGATTCGCGTGTCCCAATTTATATATCGAATCTACAAAACGATCGCGCGCGTATTATGTAAAAGATTAGCTATCGATTAATATTTTTATACATGATGATATCAGATGTAGCAAAACGATTATTTGCGTGATAATAAGGTAATAATAGATGATTATAAAATAAATTTTAATTGTTTTGAGAGAATTTTTATTCGAAAATTAAAGCCATCTTTTGAGTCTCTTGAATAAATTTTTCTTTATGTGTATATTTTTTTTATAATATTGTAGAGATTGTTATAATAAATAATAATTACTCGAGGTATTACTTTTAATCACGTAAGAATAGAGAAATAATATGCAAGTAAATATTATTGCAGAATTATCATCATTTATAACTCGCAACAAGTTCAAAACATTTTCCATCTCGATAATTTTTATCAGAATATTGTCTATATATAAGATTACAGTTCCATAGAATTTTACTCTCATCGAGTTATTAATAATATATTGATTTTATCAGAGTTCAAACAACAAACCATATTGCGACAAGGAATTATCGTGCATTAAAAATTCAGATAATATTGGGAAGAAAATCATTGATAGAATTTAAACAGTATCGTTTATTCTCTGATTCTGTGACATTGGTAGGAATTTATCAAGTTTGAATAAGATTTGACTTACGTGACCAAAACATATGTGACTTTCTTCTGATATTACGATTTTCGTACACATTAAATATGAACAAAAATAATTTCTATGTGACAATATCGTTAAATTTATTTCAATATTCTCTACAATAGCATAAAAAGAAAATTGCACGGTTCTCTCTCCATTTTTCTCGAGCAACAAGATCGGTTCTTAACGCGCGCGACATGTATGGAATCGTTTTGTCGTTTGGCCGCTGTCGTTCTTATTCAAAGCCGTCCGGTGCCACGGATGACACGTGTCAGAGGGATCCGTGGCTCGCGACACGAAGAAGGATGCCACTCCGACTAGATCGGCAGTGATGCTCAATTGGCGACTGTATCGGGGACTATATCCCGCAATCGGTGCACACGAGAAAGAAACTCGAGGTTATTTGTTCGCGTTCATTCTTATCTGACGCTACCTCGAGAGTGAGTCACTTGCTGAACGGCGAACGAGACCGGCGAGATCAGTCGCAGCGACACTCATCTTGTCGAACGAGACACTGTTGTTTTGATCAAGACTCTTTCACCTTGAAAGTGCTCAACTAATAACTCTGATCGTTTTTCAATACATTTTATTACAAGATACCATTCCGATTTATAGGATATACTTGTTTTTACCATCAAAAAGAAGGAAGGGTATTTAAACAAATATTTTAATTTATGTAATTTTGATAATTTATATTTAACAAAATAATTTTTGTTGTTGTTACATAACGCAAATTATTTTTCATATTTTTATTTTATTGTATTGCATCTAGAATCTTTGTGGAAAATTAATAGGTAAAGAGATCTCTTAATCTGTTAATTTTATTAAATGTTAAACTCTTTCTCTCTTATAGTTTTCTTTTTTTTATATAAGCTCTCTTGTGTCAAATGAACATATTTAATATAAGATAATATAAAAATTTAAAGAGACTAAAATTGCGATTGTTTTCTTCTGTATTTAATTTTCGGATATTTGAACCAAAAAAGATT